GCTAGTGTTCGGTTTTTGTAGTTCCATCGAAATATATTTCAGCTTTTAAGTTACTTGTTATTTAGCACGTAAATTTCCAAGCTTATCTAGATTGAAGGCAGCAAATATCTTCCCAGCACTCATGCTACGTGTTTGAAGTATATTGCGTTAACATAATTGACCCAACCTTTGATTTTTATTTGTCAGTGCCTCAAGGGAAGCAAGGAGGAGTGGATCCGCGCCCCTGCCCGTTTCGATCTGGATGAGCATCATTATGGCGTGCGGTTGTGTGTCACTACTGCGTGGTGCGCGTTAAAGACCCCAGGCCAGCGGTTGTACCGCGCTGGCTAAATTACTCTACAGCTGAGACAGCAGACGCCCACTGAGGCAAGCTAACTTCCGACTGTGTAAACATACACGCCATTTTTTCTTTTTTTTTTCTTTTTTTGAGGAGTGTGATTACGTAGTGAAGCTAGTGGGTACGAAGCTGTCCGAAGTAAGGTCAGAATGGAAAAAGCACCAAGTTCCGCCTGGTCCCAAACAGCCACAATAATGAACACGGAATTCAGAATAATAGTAATACGAAGGACTTACGCAGGCAGCCACACTTTTTGAGTTCGCAATGACATTTGATTATGATCACAAATATTTCTGCTTTGCTCAAGGTGGCCTAGTTTACACACCATATTGGTGACCTTTAGCGCAGCAGGAATATTTTTTATCAGAATTTAACGTCATTGTTAATTGAACAAATGTGGCTGTCTGTGCAAGTCCTTCGTGTTTTTATGCTTTTTACTTGTGTGTTCATTATTTCATTTTTTTTCTCATGATTTAGTCCTTTTGTTTTTGTTTCTTATGTGTTCATTATTTTATTTTTTTATTTTTATGAGGTTTTAGTAAAAGATATGATGCCCTCGTCATTTCCTAGTCCGGGAAACAGTGGTGACCTCGTCGTGTTCAAGGAGCAGTATGACCTTTTCATCTTGTATTGCTTCCGCGGCGAACAACTGTGTCTGTGTGCGTGTGTTAATCACACGGGAAGATTTGGCGACCGAACGGAAAAGCAAGACCAGCGAGGAGCGACTGGGGGCTTTGAACATATCACAGGGTGCAAGGAAGGACTTCAACGACGAGGCTAGCAAGGAAGCCCTTGTCAAAACTGCTGTGCTCGACCGGAGAGTTGAATCAGGACTGTGACTCTGTAAGTAGGAATCAACGACTTTGAAACTTTCGTATAGTTTACAACTTAATTGTTGCCTTCCGTTTGTTTTATTTTAATAGGTGTCTGTACTATTAAATTTTTAGTCTATTTTAATGTTTGTCTGTGCTATATTACAGTTTTGTTTCTTATCATTTGTTCTTGAATGGGGGAAGTACTTGTTTAGAGTTTTGGCGCTTTTATAAATAAAGCTTCTTTTGCAAACCATATTCTCGATCTGCTCCCTCGACAACCAATCCCGCCAGAGGGCTGTTTACTTTCCGACGTCGAATGATATGTTACAATGTTTCCGAGCTAGCGATCGCCTGCTTTCTGTATTTGTAGCATACATATTTGTCGGAATGACAGATTCCGAAGCAGAGCAATAAGGATTGGTCAGTGGCCTATTCTGTAGATATATCTACGTAAGCACACGTTTGGCAGTGTGGGATAGCAGCAAAATGTATATTATGTATTCATAGAAATGCATTATATGATCCCATGTCTGGACCTGGAAAGTATGGTACCTGCCCCATGGCAATAATTTTCATGTGATGCTAGAAGGAGCATCACGTGAAAATTTCTTTATATGGGGTGGGTACCCTATCTGCGAGACCCAAACACGGGATCATATAAAGCAGTCTATATATGGTACATAAGGAATTGGGCAGATATGGGTATATAAGGAATTGGGCAGATATGGCTATATCCATCCAGATATCGCCTGACTGTGCATATCTGGCCATATCTGCCCAATTCCTTATATATCCATATTTGTATTTTTTAATATAAGTCCAGATATAACATTTCTGTAAGGGTCGCTTACCACTTCTTGTTGTACTGCCCCGCCGCCACGCCGTCACCAAATCGCCAGAGTCCGTAAATCTGTGTTCTCTTCCTTCTTCTTCTTCGGGTTAAGGCTCACTTTCAGGCGCGATGGTGGTACCTCTGGTCAACACTGCACCAAAGCAAAACGCAAGGCCAGCCACTGGCAGCACACCACCACCACACAATGACAAAGGCGAGGACTCTACGCCACCGACACCATGGCCCCCAAGGAGGGAATTCTTACCCACGATGCTCACACTCCAGCGCCCTCAGCGACGGCGCGGAATTAACTACTCCTTGTTCGAGGCTAGCACCATACATAATCGGGTCACTCCCTCTTCGCGGGAAGAGCGGCGAGAGTCATCGCTTAAATGTATTTGTTCCACCGTGCCTGGACGTGATTTGAACACGCCAGCTTCTCGAGACCGCACATTTTTATGTACACTCTCGAGAACCTCTCGCAAGATTCAAGCGCAAGAACGAACTAACTTGGGGAAAACCAGCCATTGCAGAATTTTCGGCCATCAAAAAGGCACTCTCGACAGCAATGCTGTTCACTCGCTCTGACATTTATCATGGCTGACGCATCCGAGACTGCAGCAGATGAAGTTCTACTGGAGTTCGAAGACAACCAAGGGCGTCCAGTGTCATTCTTCTGAAAACTATTTTCGCCAGCAGAAACAAGATACAGTACATTCGGTAGAGAGCTACTAGGACTGTATCTTGCTAAAAGACACTTCCGCTATTTCCGGGCAGGTAGACAATTTTGTATTTGTTCAAATTAAAAGTTTTTGAGTTACGCGTTTCAATGTAACAACTTCAACCATACCTCATGAGAGTTACGTCATATTTCCTTCGTGCCCGGAGTTACAACAAACTTAAAATTCGTACCGGGCAAAGACAACCCCGTCGCCCATGCGTTAGCTGGAATGCACATGAAGGAGATCTCTTCAGCTCGACAAGTAGTAGATTTTGCAGTTCTCGCTCGAGCCAAACAGGCGAACTGTGCATATCTTAAAATATCCCTTACCCTTTAAGACGTCAACGTTCCTGACAGAAACAGAATGCTCATTTGCGACGTTTCTACGGGCACACAGCGACAATACATGTCTACGGAAATCCCACACACTATGTTTTACGCGCTGCATACTGTGCCACATGCTTGTACATGCGCTACCCAACGTTTAGTCACATTATGCTCTGTGTGGCAAGGCACCAACGCTGGTGTGAGGCCTCGGTCATAATCGTGTCCTCAGTGTAAAAAAAAAAAATTGAAAGTTCATCAAAACACGATCACACCTCGCGGCATTCTTCATCAACCTGACACTCGCTTGAGCTATGCGGATCTGGACATCGTGGGACCATAACCATCATCGCAGGGTTTCCAGCTGTGGCGTAGCCAGGAATTTGTTTCGGGGAGAGCGCCCAGTGAGCGAAAAAGACGCCGGAGACTGTGCCCCGGTTTTCTCAACAGCGGTGGATGTTCATTCCGTGCGTTCGTGGTTTTCGCTAAGCGTGCTGTGGACAGTGTGTTTGTGTGTTTTTCTGGTGCACCTGCTCGGTTTTATTTGTCGAACTATCGTACATCTAGGTATTTACGCAGCGACATTGTGAGTACTTTGAGAGATACTTTTTCGGCAAAGAACTCAGTTGCTCCTATTTGGTCTGATGGCTTTTGTCTGCAGCTGTGCAAATCTATATGAATTAGCCGCGTTTTATTTTGTTAACGAATTGTCCAGCATTTGTTAAACATACACCACCCACAATTCACAGGCTTCTTCCTGTCTGCCTTCCATTGACGTACAAAAAAAAACCGGTAAGTTTCGGTTAATATGGGAAAATCCAGTGATTTCTGGTAAATTATGGCTTTACTGGAAGGGAAGAGAGCCCCATAATTTAGTAAAATAATTTTTTACGGAAAATTAAATTCCAGTAAAAAATATTTTTCAATTGGGAGTTATGACATTATACAATAATTCTTAGCCTGAAAAATTCACCACGCGTAAATCATGACGAATATGAACTCGGGCCTATTCGCACAAAGCAAAAAACTAATGAGGATGATAGGACTAATATTGGTAATACGGAATACATGTCACACAGAGAGTTAAGCGCGATCCGTATGAGAAAGCACAATACTTTTAACACCTTGCTGAATCAACCTGGGACTGGGGTAGAGAAGACACATCGAAACGTAGAAGAGACAAAAAATCTGAGCCGTCGTCCTGTCTATTTTCTCTCTCGTCTCCGTTTTTTTGTTTGTACTCAACCGTGCACCTGCACCACCTGCACCCTTACCATATTTTCCCTTTTAACGCAGTTCCTCAGATATGAAAGAGTGAACTAAGAAGTGTGATGCCAGTGGTGAGAACGTGCAATAATTATTTGTCTCAACTTTCACTGGGAATCGACACGGATTCAAAATGTTTGGTAAGCGTCGCGATGCCATTACTTTGCATGCTCTTATTTTTGCGCCAGTCACCCCGGGTCTGCTGGAAACGGGCCGCGGTCCCGGTGTTTCTGAAAGGACCGCGGTCAGCCGTGGGCAGGTGAGAAAGCCTCCGCCAGCCGGATGTGGCAAGCTGACCGTGTTTTCAAAACCCCTGAATTAAACCGTTATACCAAAGAAGTCGTGGGGATCCGTCAACTTTGCGTTCAAAGCAATTTCTAAACCCCTCTGACATCTCAATGCCGAAACGTTTGGTGTGGGTATCAAAATAGCACAATACATATTCAAAGGTGACTTTCAATTGTTTAGAAGTGGGTGGTAACATCGGAATCTGAAACCGTATTTTCGCTGCATCCAAACAACTTCATAGTTCAAATGACATCACACAAGCGCTTTGTAGTTGAGGATGAAGGCGGAAGTTCTTGCATCAGCATAAGGGCATTTAAGTCGCATACAAGCGCATTTAACACGGACACGCAGCACTTGTGTTTTTCCCAGTTTGGAATCAAAATACAGCCTAGGAGGTCCTTGCCGATATTGAGAGGAATGAATTCACTCTTTCTCATATTCGTATACACTATTGCCCTGCTATACGGTAAGTGAGGAAAACGCCATTAATCAGTGAAGTGATATCCGTTTACTAATCAAGCAGAAAGCAGTGGCGACAAAACATATATTTCTGACTCAAGTCTTACCTTTGCGCTAAGTCTCTCTCAGCATGTGCGTAGATATCGCGCATATGACTTTTATTTCTTGATTACATAAGCTAATGCGCAGTCACTCAGTTTGAACTAAGCTTAGAATTTCTCACGTTGGTGCCTTCATTGCTTGTCGGGGGGCGTTTATTGACATTAACTTGTTAAAAAAGTAAGTCGCGATTAAAGCTTGATCAAATATCTATCTTTGTTTCTCTTCATTGTACCCTTCAAAAAGTTGTCTTGCACCTTAGCTGAGTTATATTGATCTCTACAACAATATATGCGAGAAATGCTCCTAAAAAATAAAGCAATATAAGTTTATAAGCGAATGTGAGAAACATCTTGCAAGACAACTGCATTTCGAAAAGGACAGTCAGTGATTAAAAAGGATCATGAACTTCCCTGTCTTTTTACCAATAAAACAAACCCTCTCAGAGGCTCCGACACAAATTGACGTGCCTAGGGGTATCTAGTTGTCTTCGGCCACCCTTTAGAATTACTTAGACTTGAATTAAACATATATTTATATTTTTGGTAGGACATTGAACGCGCTGTAGATATCCCTGTGTTTTAAATTAAGCCTCATCAGCATATATCTTCACAGAAGAGCACCGGAATTTTGTATACCAATTTAAAAACATAATTTTTACGTTTAGCCTGGAATAGTGTTTTGCACGAAAGAGCAGAGTATTAGTGTATGCGTAAAAATGTAGGCTTGATATTCTTTGTACACATGATATTTAGTAATGGACATTTCTTTAATACAAAAGATTGTTGGTTGTTTCGCTTATTCATGTTCAGGTCTTGAAGTCACTTCAGTGTCAGTCACGCCAAACCTAAACTGAAGCCAAAACCATGCAAATCTGGTCCTACTTGGCGCGGTTAGGCAGACGTCAGTTCTGCCCTCCCCCCCCCCCCCCCCCCCCCCCTTGATAGCTTTCTCTCATTGCCACAGAGAGACGTCCCCGAGTATAGTCCATCATTTTCGTGGCGTTTTAGAAGTGAAGAGTTCTCGTGTGCGGCTTCGATCGGCGTTCAAGCAGCTCGCGGAACCACGCACTTCCAAAGAGCTCTGCGGCCGCCCCATTTCGCGACCCGGACGACCCCTGTCAGCCAGAAATTTCTGAGAACCTGCTAAGCCGTCGAAACCCGGTCAGCGCGACTCCCCACCTGTATTGTTCTTTGGGAGTTTGCCGGACGTTCTTGAAAGTTTTTATTTATTTGTCTGTTCATGATGCTTACCCTTTTTGTATTACCTTCCTCTGTGAGAACCAGCGAATACCAGGTCTCGTCGACGGCTGGGCCTTCGTAGCATGCCGACGAAGTAAGCGAGCATCAAACACTTCGCGACGCGGGCCATTCGACGTTCTTCAATGATTGATTCAGCAGAGATAATCGTTGAAAAGTCTTCCCACCTATGATCCCTTTCTTCGGGAAAAATACCTGTTGGGCCCAGGGTAAATGACGGAAAAAATAGACCCGATTAATTTTTTTAATGTCGTACAAAAACGCACTTTTCATAACATTCCCTAAAATAAACCGGATTCTGCCCTAATGTCGTGAAGGGACTGTTCGTCGGCACTCTATATTGGATATGCTGTGTTATCTGAGATCTTTCTTGAATAAATCTTTTTTTCGGATTACGCAGCACCGTACGGTACTGTCAATATATTGTTCGATTCATGAGACTTGTTGGATCTCATGTTGTGACCGAGCAATGCCCATGCCTTTCGGCTCTCTTGAGTGTACCAATATTTTCGGCAGTTAATATCCTTGTAGGTTGACACGGCTGAGTGTAGGGCATCTTAAAAATCTGCATAAAATGCAACAAATATTCCACCTGTATTTGATTTTGTTCTGTCGTGTACGGGGCCACCAAAAATTGCTTTCATTTGTTTTGTTTTTTCAAGAACTTGTACATTGATTTTTTTTAAAGCGTGGCGCAATTGTATTCCCCACAAGACACAAAAGATTAAATAAAACGAATAAATTTAGCCTCAACCCCTGTCCGGAATTGCGCTTACACAGGCTGCTACTGCTTTTTGAAGCTATGTCGGCCGACAGCCCAGCGCAGTCGGCCGACATAGACGTACTCTCTCAAACCCAGAAACACGCGGTGTAAACCACTTTAGTCGAAAAGGTCGCTGGAAAGGTCTATAGAATTGACTGCATAGGCACATAAAGTCATAATAGAGAGCTTTTGATGATGGATCCCATACCTTCAATACCCCTGATAACGATAAGATGCTTGGGAGAAAACGGCGACGATGTATCGGGCATTGCTCTCGGAGTCATTGGAACGATCTACTAAAACTCTCTAATGATCGCTTTCCCGATTTGCTTAACTTGTATGGCGACCGCATTTACTGCCCCGGGTAATATTTGAGGTCAAAAAGCTAGTGGAGAGGCAGTAATGGCAATAGATGCAGCAACAATTCCAGCTTTTTGTTAGACTGTAGAAATAAAATTCTCTCGGTCCGCAAAAAAAAAAACAGTCCCTGTTTCGCGATGAGTTCGAGTCCATTACAGAAAACGATTGCCTGCTTCTTTATCCTGACACTTTGCGACCGTAAACCCAAAACAATCCCAGCTACATCTCAGGTAGGATACACTCTGCAACGATGTTGCTTATGTGTAGAAAACGAAATTGTGCATTCCAAAATCAAATGTTAAAGTCGTTCATATATTCACCTTTTTGCAATGACGATTTTCAACGCAAATTTTGTGTTTGAATGTGCACTCGCTAACTGGATGGTTACAGAATCTGCAAGTCCAGCACGCACAGACGAAAAGGATACGCAGTATAAGTGCGGAAAACGCCAAAAAGAAAAACATATTTCTGGAAGAATCATCAATGGTACCGAGGCTCACCCGGAACACTGGCCCTGGATGGTCGCAATCTATAATTCAAACGATACCTTACTATGCGGTGGGGTCTTAATTGGCGAAGAATATGTGATAACGGCAGCACATTGTTTTCTGTAAGTGATTTTTGTTTTCCAATTTAATGTATGCATGCATTTTGATTTTTTTTATATAATACTTAATTGCTGTCTCGCGTATTCCCAGTCCGTTTTTCGTTAGTTGGAAGGGTTATTCAGCCACTTCTTTTGCAGTGCGGTTTGAGGCACGAAGCAACTCACCCGTTTCTGTTTTTGCAGCGTGAAATTCGCATTTGATGGCGGCCCATAATTAGACAAGAACCCCGATAATCAAATTTCTTTTAAAGTTTAAACAATTATAGTGTGTAAGGCATTCAGATTACACGGGGTGATAAAAGTAGCCTTTAATATCCAATTTGAATTTCTAACTTGGGGCCAATACACAATATTGTGCCTGTCAAAGAGGTAGGACGCAAGTTGTATCTCAAGTGTATTAATGAAATTTGTATATTAATTCTAAATATAAAACTTACTGAACTGGGTAACAGTAACTGTCTGCTTTTTCTTTGTAATAAAGAAATAAAGACGCTCATGAGTTTTCAGTTCGTCTTGGAACCACACTCGAAACCAATGTTTCTCAATGCACCGCTCCACAAGATTCTAATATACGCAAAAAGAAAACCAGAAATGCAGAAGTATCTCCAAAATTAGATCAAGAATACAATGACAATCCTGAAAGACAGGTGATCTGCGCTGAAGTTGACAGTATCTGCACCCCTATTCAAAACAACTGTGGCCTTTTCATGGTACGTAAATAGCAACGGTCCAAACATCTTTAAACGTTGTGCATCATGATTTTTTCGGCATTACCTTCACAGAAAGACATTGCTGTTGTAAAATTAAAAACGAAAGTCAACTATACTGACTATATTCAGCCAATCTGCCTTCCGGAAAACTGTGTCGATCCTCCTGCAAACAGCGCATCCTATGCTGCTGGCTGGGGAGGAATATATGATAAATGGCTTAATTTTAATTTTTAGTACAGACGCGAATCATTATAAAATACAACTCCGTAACTTTGAATGATTTCGTAATTTATGTATTAAACTGGTAATTAAAAAAAGTTTCTAATGCGTTATGTGACATATAGCTTGTACGTTGATCAGACGGCGATTGATGTTTCACAGATGCTGGCATGACCAATAAGGCCCTGGAATGTACAAACATTCGAATGGCCTTTATTAATATTTCAAATTAATATTTGTTTTACTCCCAGAGTATCACAATTCAGATAAATATGAAGAAACAAAATTGGTCGTATTTCGATACGCAAACACACTGATGGAACGAAAATTACATCTCATGGATCAGGAGCAATGCTCTGCCCAAATGAAAAGCGAAGTTCCTGGCTACATCATTTGCACGAGTGGAGGAGCATGTTATGTGAGTAAAGAAAACCCTTGAACTGTGCTCCCTATAACACTCAAATTTCATATAATAAATCTTATTTCTTCTTGCACCTAAGTTCATAAAGCATGCAGTTCTTTTTAGTGTAATCCTGTAGTCCTAAATGTTTGTCACGCCGATCGTCCGTCCATTCGTGTCATCATTTCACCGCTGTTCAGCAAGGAAATCAACGTTGCCTGTCCTCTCACGTTAAAGGATTGGTTCCTACGCTAAATTGAGCAGCAAAGTCGGAATCAGGTTACCTGAGCACCTATTTAGTTTTTTCGTTAAATATGGCAATAAAATTGATGTGCCGTGATTTAAAACCGATTTAAAGGTATTGCAAAATTTACAGGACAAAATTACATCCCGTCTTCTGTCAGGCGGTGTTTACGGTAATTTAGCTTTCCCGCTAAATTTAACAGTAAAAACATTGTTTCCCCGCTAAATTTAGCACTGAAATATGTGTCACGAGACTTATACACCAATTCCTTTTTTTCTCTAACTTTAGGGAGGAAATGACTGAGCATTTATTCTCCTTCTCTCACGAAAGGCTTTAACGTTTCCTTGTGAAATTGAGACGAGTGTATATCAAATAGTGTATCCTATGCATTGCAGGACTTTGGAGATAAATGCCGCTCTGTTCATCTGGCGAAAAACTAAGTTTGTCTCAAGCACCTCGATTTGTCTAGAAGATTTGAATGATATGTATATTAATCTGAGGTGTCTCCAATTTGCTTGTGTTACTAAACTACGTTCTCAACATGATATAGCACCTTGATTGCACATTAATACTTTATACTCAAAGAAAGGACGCGTTCGGGGACATAATCGGCGCCACATTTCTTAACGAGATATGGAGATCGAAAAAACATATCTCCTCCATGCGCACGTGAAACCCGCCACGATCACCTATATTCCTGCACGTAAATTCAATCCGCCGGCGAGGGAGAGCAATCAGATTATTAGTGAAGGGATACACACTTTTTACTATAGACATTATTAATTACCGGCAGTGAGGAATATCGTCCAGTCGTGATATTCGGACCGAAGAACAAACAAACGCTCTGCAGACGCAGATTCCGGCGCAGATAAACGGAAAACATGGCGGAGTCTTGTTCGGGACACACGATGAAGCATGAGCTTTGAGAACTGCTGCGGGTCGAATGACATGAAAATACATGCAGAGCAACGCTGGACACGGGTACACCAGAACGAAATCGAAAACGATGACCGTGGGAGGGTGCAGACGGGGCCCAGAGGCGTGGGAGCATTAGATGAGGCCTGGGTGGGTAGCGGTTCACTATACGATGCAACGCGGACGCTGTCGTTACGGACGCTGTCGATCAGCTTCGAATGCGAATCGGCAGGCCACATTTAGGTAATAATAATAGCTTATTCACAAATCCGCATCAAGGTTAAAAAAAAGTCTCACAAAAGCACATGCGTGCAAGTGCGCGAGAACGGGTAGTCCATTCAAACTATCTTTTTACGCGGGTACTTCGTTTTCGCAATCCTACAAACATTTTCTTCATACATCTATTCAGTGTTGAGGCACAAAAGAAACAAAATAAAGACAAAAGATACTCGCTACAAATTAGATATCACGGACACACTACTAGAGAAATTGCAGTGTGACCAATGTGCCAAATGCTCAGAAACAACAAAAAAACAGTCATTTATTTATTTATTTATTTATTTATTCTGCTTAATGTGCCCACAAACAGCTCGAGGTCCTATTAGTGCGCACATATTAAAACAATAAAAGGACAGATACAGACCAACAAACAAGCAAAACGTGATTTAAAAAAGATAACAGGAAATAAATAACACTACGGAGAACAATGGAGAACAGCAGAGCACAGATGTTTGTCAAGCGGCCAACAATGCTCTTCTAAAATTTAAAAAGGGTGAAAACCATTCTAAATCCCTCCTATCTCGATTATAATGGAGCTGAAGGCGTGTCATCGGGGACTAGACACAAACTTTCTGCGGGTAGAAAAGAAATGAAAATCTGGTCCACTTTTGGAGAACACTGAAAGAAATCGCACTTGGAAGCAAAGGTGCATCAATTGTAGCGTTCACTATCTTATACAAAACATTCATGTCTCGCGCTAATCTTCTTTTATGCAAGGGTACCAGGTCAAGCATATTAAGTAAGTATTCATATTCAAAATAAATGCCCCTCCGAATCCATCGATCATAAACAATACGCACGAGACGACCGCTGGACTTTTTCTGAAATACATCAATGAGTCGATTCAATGGTGTTCCAGATGACTGAGCAGAACTGAAGTTTAGACAAAACAAGGGCGCGAAATAGATGAATCATGCTAGCGTAAGTACGAAAACTCTGCGCCATTCGGGAAATAACGCCTAGCACCTGATAAAAATCATTCACAACTTTCCAAACATGCTCAGTAAACGAAAGGCGGCAATCAAACGGCACTCCCAGGTCACGAATAGTATCAGACCTCGCGACAGCTGAACCTAACATGGTATACGGATACTCAATGCAGCTTGTCTTACGGGCAAAGGAAACAACCTTGGTCTTACTGGGGTTAAGTACTAAATTATTTTTAAGCACCAGTTTAGAACTGCTCAACATCGTCTTGCATCTTTAGACAGTCAGTAGTTTAATGAATTTCGCGGTAAATCTTAACATCGTGTGCAAACTCCAGCACCTTTGAATGCTGCACACTGTCTACGAAGTCATGCACAAAAATATTGAATAACAACGGCCCCAGGTTGGACCCTTGATCCACTCCAGTATATAAAACATACGAGGCAGAAAAACACCATTCATGCAGCACTCTGCTAGGTCTTCCGCCAAGATAACTAAACAACCAACTGCAAAACGAGCAAGTCATGCACAACGCTGAACACTTGGCGAGTAACAACTTATGATCTACGAGATCAGAAGCTTTAAATCAATCGAAATAAATAACATAAACTTGCCCACAGGACGTGGCCTTAGGTATAGTATGTTCCCAAAATGATACAAGGTTTGTTTCCACTGAACGCCATTGACAAAAACCATGTAGGTTGAGAAAAAGAGACAACTTAAAATGAAAATAAATATTCTTATACATTGCCCTTCCAAATACCTTAGAAAAAAAGCAAAGAAGAGAAATCGGCCTTTAGTTATTAACGCAGTCAGTGCGACCAGATTTATGTATAGAAACAACCACTGCACTCTTCCATCCTTGAGGAAATACATTGGCCTCCAAGGACATGTTGAAAACATGTCGCAAGACAGGGGCAAAAATATCCCGGCATTCCTCTACGATGAAAGCAGGAATTCCGTCCTCATCGCAGGACATTTTTGAAGTGAGCTCATTTATTGCGGAAAGCACATCTCCAAGCATAAGATTCGGAACTTCCAAGCTGTCGTTCGTTGGAATCAAGTCATGATTCCAGCAAACGACAAAAGCGAGGATAAGGGTCCCAAGGAAAGATACACAATGGCAACTAATAAACCAGCGCGTTTTGTCAAGGTATCTGGTGGAAATCTACAAGTAATTGTAATACTGTACTTAGGGAATCGGAGAACGCATGAAGATTTCGCTTCATTGTTAATCTTGTACTGTGCCAGGGTAAACAGGAGACAATAAAAAAAGCTCGGGTGAATGACTAGTTAACCTTCAGTTTCCTGTATACACCATTTCCTCCTTTCCTTTTTTTACAGATTTTAAGGAGTGGAGGGTGTGAAGATTTAAGGAAGTTGGTTGACATATGCATGCACATAAAATATGCGGAGCGTAGTTCCATAGTTAGTCTATATTATTTGGTATCTGAAGCTTTTCTGTGTTCCTCAGTTGCCTTTCTTTGATGGTGTTCATTTTGAATTCGGATGTGAAGTAATAATTCGTCAGAATGACAAATTTCACAGTTTATTTACTGTCAATAGGTCAAGTTCTGACAGGTGATCTTCAAACACTATATTTTCAAGTTTGGCTTCATAGGCGATGTTCCCCACCGTCCTTTTAATTAACTTATTTATTCTTTGTTTTTCGAAGTCAGGATGCATAGGTAATAATTCCATAACTTAGTTTTGACTCTGCTAACATTTGCTAAATTAATCGTCTTAGCCAGATGTCCGTGGGGTTCAGTAATCTGTATAAGTAAGATGATATTTTTCGTGATTTATTAGGTGGTCTTCATAAAAATTCAACGACAGATGCTCGTCAAAATACGTGTCTAGATATTTTGTGTTTCTGGTATATGAAAGTGGCGTACAGCTGCACTGAGTGTATTGAGTTGCATGTAAAAAGAGGAGTTTTTTTAAGGTTAATACGCCTTTGGTGCGTTCGAAAGCATATTAGTTGTGTTTATTTTTTTTTCATTGTCCTCAAGTATAGAGTTTTCAGAAAGCTAGTCCATTGTATTACTGAAGTCACATCGCAAGCTTTTGACTGCATTATCATGTTTATTTGCCAGGACTAATGCTTTATCGTCAGCGTATTCATAGGGATTAGATTTTAGAATGAGTTAGGCACGACCGTTCATGTAGATGTTAAAAAGCATAGGGTCTTAAACAGATCCCTGAGCCAAACCGCAAGTTGTGTGCAATGAATCATTAAAACATTTTTCTTTCTTAACTCGTTGCGTCCGGTTGGAGAAGTTATTTTTAAACAAATCTAGGAAGTTCATGCTTACTGATTACCAGCTGAACGTAATGAAAAGCGACGAAGAGAGAAAGAAACAAAGTGCTGTTTTTATAAACAAGTCGGGCTATCGCAGCTTCAATGGTTATCGGATATAATACCTGTCTTCTATGTTCCATGTATTACCGCCAGCAAAACATGATTTAAGTTTGTATAGTTTTCTTTTATGTCTCGTGTTCTTAGTTGATCCTATCCCGCCGGTTTTATGATTGACATACTGTTAATTATATATTCTAGATCTGTATTTGTCGTTTGTGGTATAGGTATGCCGAGTAATGTACATTCGACAGTGGCTTTCCACTGTCTGTGCATTGTTTGCTGGCTCGCGCCAATCTTGTACAACTTTAGCGAAGTTTTTTGACACGGTTACTGAGAGTATAGTAATCGCTGACTCCAAAGTTTTTTTTTTTATACATTCCTCAATCCTGTTTTCAGGTGGTTTTTCCATTATTTGATTGACAATATTACGCGTTTTCTTTATGTTTTTCTTACAATATGGAGTTGTGTCACATTGAATTTCTTTTTTTGCTAGTCTAATCTTCTTCGCTACTCTATTCCGTACCTGCCTGATCTCTTCCTTTAGTGTTCCATCTTTGGAGTTTTGCTTACATCTATTCCAAGATCTATTTTTTTCATAACTTAGTTCTAGTATTATGTCGTTAACCAAGACAGCTCCTGGCTTCCGCTGTTCCAGTCTAATTGTTTTATAAGAGCTGTCATATATTCCTTTGAATATGGCTATCACTCTTTTGAAAAGGTTTAGGTGGTCTAGGTGCAGCAAAGCGCTCCAGTTATATATTTTATTATTGCTGTCTATTTCCTTTTATCTAGAATTTTCTTGAATTGTTTTCCCGGGGAGCTTTTAGTTTCGGCCTCACGCATGAGTTTAGAGCGACAAAGTAGAGATATGCTACTTTGTGTTTCATTATCGCCACGATAAAGTTTTCGGTACAAGTACGCAGTATTATATGCTCGATACAGGTTTTTGTCACTTTATCACCTAGGTATTCTTCACGTGTGAAACCTTCAATCATATTTTTCAATTCGAAGTTTTACAATACTTCAATATTTTCTCTTACTCCGGGTTTGCTGCGGCACATAACATCGATGTTGAAATCGCCTGCTAGTACGACATGGTCATTGTTTTTAAAAGTGTTCAAGAGTTTTATGAACTCATCGCAGAATAAGTTTCGTTTACCACTGGGTGGTCTATAAATGCAGCTATTGTAAATGACACGTCAGGCCTATGAACAGTGTAGACAAGAACTTCTGCATGATTTATAAACACCTCCGCACGGTCCGAAAAACAATCATTTTTATGTAAGCTAATATTCTCCCTCCTTTCTGCCATCTCGACGTATTGAAGTTGAATACAAACTATCTATATGAAAAGGTAACGGTTCTTTTGCTCAAATGTTTACTTCAGTTATTATTATTTCATTGATATCTTCGAGCGAACTAGCAAGGTATACGTTAGGTTCATCCCAATGTTTTTTTTTTTTTTAATGCTTCTGCTGTTAATTTAAAGGACATGTTGTAGCTGCTCGTCCTCCATTCCTATTTTTCTACTATATTTTTACACATCTATTCCAGTCGTTAAGTATGCTACACGTGGCCATTTTATCAAATTTTGTTCAAGTCATCTTCCCTTTCGATACATATCACCGCCGATCCTCCGCTTTGCCTGACCAGTATTTTTCATTTCTCATGCAAAAAAACCTGTACCCCTGTTCCTTGCACATTCCTTTTCGTTCCCGAACAACTATTTCTGCAGCTTTGTCAACTCCTCGTTGATGAAGATATGATTCTACTTTAGCGCTTTGCCCTTGCTGACTTGCCGGTCTCATTCCGATATGTCGTTGAATCGAACAATGATCGAAGCATTCTTATCATCTCTCGCTCTTAGTCTCTGCATGGCCTTGACCTATCTGGTTCTGGGAAAGGTAGGTCTAGCCTCGTTGCTAGATATTTCAAAATTGTTGGTAGGTCTTTGTGTACGTTTCGGACAATCCCATGAATGGCACTGTTTCTCCTTCGTTCAAATCGGTCCATATATTCAACTGCCCACTCTAAGTCTTTTATTCGAGCATCATTGTCAAATGTAAGCAGCTCGATCTCCTTTGTTCTTTTCCTTAGGTCGTTCGTGACAGTTGTCAGTGAGCCGATGTTTTTTAGGAGATCGTCGTACTTTTTAGATAGCAATTTCGGTGTTTTTTAATAGATTCAGTGGTTTTCTCTTGATCATCCAGTTTTTAGATCTTAGTGTCGTGTTGCACAGACTGCAGATTCAGCTTCTTTTCGATGTTTTTAATCGCAGTCAAAACCTCGATCATCTTTTTGATTGTCCGCACTTTTGGCGCCAATATAGCCGCTTGTCCGTGATCTGAAGTTTCGGCAGTGTCCTGGGAAATCTTGTCGCCTCCCTGCTGTTTTTGACGTTGGGTGTTCAGTTTACGCGTGACACAGATCCAAGTCAGCGGATTTACCGCTTTTTCGTATTTTGATGTGACTCCCGAGCACTTCCCAATATGGCACAGGCTGTTGCATTTTGTGCATTTTAACACTTGACTATCATCCGTCCCTTCTTTCATACATCATAGGCAAACATTTTTTTCGATGTGAGAAATGGCTCAGTACGGGAGAGCGCAGTCCAGCGGAGTGTGCGGTGCAATGAAGAAAAAAAAAAAAAAGCAGCACCCACCTGAGGAGCAGAAAACAAAATGTTACGATCCATTCAGTCACTCCGCCGGACGGCGCTGGTTCCCAGTTCGCTGTTTACTTATATTCGCTATATCCCGCGATGTCTTGTAGCCTGGCCCGCTTTCTTTCTTTTTCTGAGCAGCAGAAAGAGAAACGCGGCTCCTGAACTTATCATACAATCTCTCCGATGCTGCTGTGAGATTAGAGATCCACAAGGCACATGCTCCCGACAATTAACTTTATCCAGTTGTGTCACAGCAGCGATTGGACAGAAACCACAATCCAAATGTCGGCTAAGGTTTCGATGGTAATCGGTCCCATGTGCAAGCGATCATGCTCTGCTCCTGTCTACTAAATTAACTCTATTCAACAAACGTCGCCCATGAGTGTTTTTCACGCGTTTTGTTTGACAACGTCAACCAGATCTGAGAATGAAAGATTAAATGAAATACTTCCTAAGATTACACTGCACTAAACATACTTCTGCCTCTGTAGAATTCGCTGTGAGTTCGGCTGCGCTTCATTTGTGACGCATGTTTATGTGAAATGCTCAACATTTTAACTCACTATTGCTGTGTGACCAGAATAATCCGCCCGCACTCTCATTGTGTCACTAAGAGAAACTTTTAATTATTCACTGAAAGAACGAGCTAAGGAAAGAGTTAGCATCAAGGATTAGTTGTTTTTTGTCGCTCGCACTGTCATAAAATGAAATATCATAATTTCTTGTTATGTCCAGAAGTGCACCTTGACTGCGATCTAGATTGTAACGTACTTGTACTTTCAGTTAGATTCTACACTGTTCACCACGAGTAAAATTACGAGCTTCTTTTCTAAACGTCTGTAAAACGGCTCCCAATAGCAAATACTAACAACCATGCTTACCTGAACAAAACAAATTCTTACTTCCCCTTGTTTATATCTTATTGCTATCAAAGGAAATATTTGGAGAGCCAACAGCTGTGCAGCTTAGTATGCATCAATGTCGTAAAGGTTGCGTTATAGTGCTCGGTCTACAAATATCAAGGCTGGTCAATATATTGAAAGTTTACGCGAATAACGGGGGATATGTACTAATCTTATGATAGAAGCATTGAGAGATATAATCTGTTTTAACCCTTGTGGTCAACAAGAAAACTTCTCAAATAGGCGCTTTCAATTTACAAGCAACACCTTGATGTCTGTTCTTTTGTTCGTTCTAAGTGTTTTGTCTGTTACAGCAGAACGTTGGAGTCCTTAACGCTTATGCGCTACAGCCTGAAAACCTGCAAAACGCTGTAACATTAGCACTAGTACTGCTAGTAAATCACGCTGAGAAACGTGTTACGTTTGATAAACACATATTTCGAATCTTTCTGTATAGTATAAAAAATCAAATAGAGTCTAACATTTTCTTCTGCTTTATTTTCAGGGAGACAGTGGAGGACCCTTGATATACGAAGATAACGGCCGGTGGACTCTTATTGGTGTGATTTCTGACGGACCAGATAACTGCCTTTACCCGGAGAGACCTCTACTCTTTGTGAAGGTCTCGCACTTCGTAGACTCGCTTATTTCGAAATTTATGGAGCCTGGAAGTCACAGTGACAAAAATTCCACGTGTGCTACGGAGAATGCCCGTAAAGAGTGTGTAACGAAGTTCTATCAGTTCTACAACCAGTCTGTAGAACCATAAGACATCCTGAAGGCATCTCTACCTTTCATCAGTTCTACCACATCTCTATAGAACCATAAAACATCCTGAAGGCATCTTCCTTCTATCAGTTTTACAACATGTCTGTAGAACCATGAGACATCCTAAAGGCATCTAATTTAATAAAAAATCTTTACGCTTGTGTACAGTTTTATTTGCCTACATTTATATTGTTACTTGCTTCGTTATGAAAACTGGTAATGAAAATGCGGTGAGTGAGCCGGGGTGCTGGTGGAAGTGGCCTCTACTGTTATTTTTTCTGCCACTGTCAACTGGATTTCCTTCGTCTGGCGCAGCCATCGGTTAAATTCATAATGAAAACTGTCTTTACTCGTGCTATGCTCGTGCTCAAAATGCAATGAAAGAACCTTTTTTTTTTTGTTTTGTTTTTAGCAAGAATCTTTTATTCGTCCTTTGGAGATGACATCCCTGGTCACTGTAGTGATATTTCCTTTCCCAACAGGGTTATTCCGAACGCTCCTCGGAAATACCATTCGCAAATGGATTAAAGCAAAATGTTCAGGAACGCTTATTTTGAAAATCATAATTCGCAGGATGCAGCACTTAACGTATCGATCGATTAAATGTGTTTAGAAGGCAGTAAACGTCACGTATTATTATGTTGTCAGGTCGGCCTGTCACGTGATACCATAAAGTCAAATGCCTTCGCGTCACTCGACGTGGTCACGAGACGCCGTGACGTCACGTTACTTTACGTCATGCGACGTGGACATGTAACCTGACATCACTCAACTCCGTCTCGTTTCGCGAAGTTCAGACATCAAGTCGTGGTCTTACGTAATACCGTAACATCACGTGACCGGATAGAAGCAACAAAGAACGTGCAGGCCAGCTGGTGAACGTTTAACATCTTCAAGTCCTCACGCAGAGGAACGAAAAGGAGGGTGGCGCACAAAGTGAGCTCAATCACACCTGTGATACTTATTCCCGCTTCCTTGTTCTTATGTAGGTGCCCCAACCGATCCTCCTTCGTAGGAATTCCGATACCACCCTACAAAACCCTTTCCTGCTCCTAACCTTGAGCGGCATTAAACTTCGCGACCGAAAAGCCTAATCTAACCCCAAATCCACGGTCATTCCTTCGATCCCGGCTCAAACAAACCAGTAAAGCGACATCGGGCCCTTCTTTGCCCGTTACTGGTGATTGGCCAGGTACTAACGTCAAAATTTGACCTCGACCTCTCGCCCAACATCCAAAAAAACCAATTGCTCTGACATGTCTTGTCATCCTACCTCGGCAAGCCTCACTCATGAGGGCCCTCACTCACCCTCACTCACCCTCACTCACCCTCATCTTCACTGGTGAGGTGAGGGTGAGTGAGTTTCTGAACCAGGAAAATTCATGAGTGTGAGGATGAGCGAGGGCCGTGCGGGCTGTGAGGGCTGTGAGGACCGTGAGTGCGTGAGGGCCGTGAGGGCGGTAAGTGCGTGAGGAGTGTGAGGGCGGTGAGTGGGCGTGAGGGCCATGAGTGCTTGAGGGGTGTGAGGGCTGGGAGTGCGGAAGGGGTGTGAGCGACATGAGTGCGTGAGGGGCGTGAGGGCAGTGAGTGGCATGAGCGCGTGAGGGGCGTGAGGAGCGTGAGGGCGGGGAATGCGTGAGGGTGTGAGGGCCATGAGTGCGTGAGGGCCGTGAGGGCGGTGACTGCGTGAGGAGCTCCTCAGACGGAGCAACTTTCTCAGCAATTTGGTGTAGATGGCGGGTTGTTCCCTATATTTTCCTAGATTGGCACGAATGGCTGAGATCGGGTTCGGCTCGAAACAAGCGAGCAACTCGGAACGATTATGAAGACGTTTGAAGCGGCTACATCCAATCAGAAACGCAATATTTTCACGTGATATCTCATGCCGGTGATGATGACAACAAAAGACATGGTTCTGGTTTGATATTGATCGTTTTTGGAAATAAACTGTTTCACAAAATGCATTAGTATTCTCAACGTAATTTAAATGGATAAAAACACGTTTATAGCGCGTAATTGTGTGTCTAAATAGTGGAAGGAAAATAAAATCTCATGATGATGATGGCAAATCGCAGCAATTGGTTGCTGCGTGTGAACGCGGGCGGCCCGTGTTGCTGGTGTTGCGACGTCAAGTTTTTGGGCGAAATTGCCCCCATCTGAAGCTGGCCTGGGCGTGAGGCCCATGAGTGCGTGAGGGGCGTGAGGGGTGTGAGGGCCTTGAGGGCGGCAAGTGCGTGAGGGGTGTGAGGGCCATCAGTGCGTGAGGGCTATGAGTGCGTGAGGGGTGTGAGGGCGGTGAGTGCGTGAGGGCGGTGAATGGCGTTAGGACAATGAGTGCGTGAGGGTCGCGAGGGTTGAGAGGGCCGTGAGGGCGGTGAGTGCGTGAGGGGTGTGAGAGCCATGAGTGCGTGAGTGAGGGCGGTGAGTGGCGTGAGGGCCATGAGTGCGTGAGGGCCGTGAGGGATGTGAGGGATGTGAGGGGCGTGAGGGCGGTGAGGGGTGTGAGGGCCATGAGTGCGCGAGGACCGTGAGGGCGGTGAGTGCGTGAGGGGCGTGAGGGTTATGAGTGCGTGAGGGGCGTGAGGGCCGTGAGGTTCAGTGAGGGTGAGAGTGACTGCGAGGGTGAGGGCGAGTGAGGGGCTGAAGGTGAGTGTAGCTCTGAGGATGAAAGTGAGTGAGGGGCTTAGGTGAGTGTGGCTGCGAGGGTGAGGGTGAGTGAGGGCGACCTAAAATACCGACCTGTGCTTGTCATGATGTATGCACGAACGATCAAGCAGACGGCGGATAAGCTATTTTCTGTGGGTATGAGATATCGTTACGAAGCGATCCCGCGGCTTTAAACATATACTCACCGCTCCCAAACTGCGATTTGTGTACTTCGAAACAGCCGCTAAACTGGAATTTTTAATATGCCTTCGGAGCTAGGGATCGCTGACAGATAAAGAGAAAAGGCTGAATTTGAGCTCCTTTCACTCGAGTATGCAGCATACGACCTACGCGATGTGCAGATCGGCTACCTTTTGTTCGCTAAGGCAATGAACGTTTTTTGACCTCCCAAGGGAAACTACCCAGGTAGCACAAAAAGTGGGGCCCATGTGGGGCCTATGTGAGCAATGGGGGCTCGGGCAGCCACTACGAAACCCACGTTGGTGTCACGTTGGTGCAGCGTGGGCATGACCAATATGGGCTGCATATAGGCATCCTGTGTTGCATAGGTGCCACCGCGAGAAGTGATTCATGAGAACTAGTTTTGGGTAGTACAAGCTTGAGTGTTTCAAACTGTCACAGATGTGTAAGCGTGCCTGCACTGATGCAGAACGCGTTAACGAGGAAAACACAAAGCAACGAAAACTTTCTAATGCCGTGGAAGCACAGTTCTAAACTAAGACGATAAGAGCGTCAACGTACGAACGACCGTGTCGCACTTCCAAAGAAAAAAGGGGGAGAAAGTCAGGACGCCAGATGTTTTTACGACACAACCGAGAGATAAGAGACATGTACTTTGGCGGTAGTGGCATGAATATGGAACTTTGGATTGCCTTGCGGAGTTAGATCTACTCCATATCGGACGTCGAAAGCTGTTTTTCGTTGTTCAGTGCTACATAAAAAAAAGCTCGGTCAATGTTTTAAAAGTAGTGCGATGCCTAGTCAGGTGGCCTGTACTACCCCAAATGAGGGCGTCGCAGTTTGCTTCATACTTAAGTGCACGAAGCCTATGCAATACTCTCGAGGTTCTCATCTCGGCTGCGCGAAAGTATGCCCAATTGCGGGTGCCCCACATTACCACCGTGGATCCCCCTTTGGCTATGCGGGGGCAGGGTTATCGCAGATGTAGGCTTCAGGGGGGCAGTGTGGGCATTCCCAAATTGGGCCGCCCATGTAAAACACCCGTGGGATTCATTTCGGCTCTAAGGGGATCCACAGCGGCTAAGCGTGGGCGTGCCGGAGTTGGAATACCTATGTGAAACCCATGTGAGTCCCACCTCGGTTTTACAGGAGCTAAATGCGGGCATGTCTATCTTGGGCTTTACGGAGGCCAAATCGCGGGCATGCCCGGCTTGGACAGGACACGTAAACCTCCTGGGACCCACCTCGGCCGTGCGGGGGCTTAGTTACGATAATCTGGGCTCAACGGCGGTGAAGCGTGGGCATCCACGACATGAGCTACCCACGTGAAACACTCATGGGGTCCAAAGGCGATACGAGGGCTCCACAGCGGCCAGGCGCAAATGTGACCAGTTGGGCTACCCATATAAAACCGCAGTGGGTCACACCTCGACTCTGCAGGGCCAAATTGACGAAGATGAGGGTTCCACTGCAGTAAAGCGAGGGGCATGCACAACTTAGGCTCTCCTTGTAAAACCCTCGTAGGCCCCACCTCGCCCCCATGGGGGTGAACTTGAGATGATGCTGGCTCAACGGAGGCAAAACGTGGGCGTTCCCGAGTTCAGCTACACATCTGAAACCCCCGTGGGTCAATCCTCGGCTTTGCGATCCTAAGTGAACAATGCAGTGTGCTTCACAGCGGTGAAGCGTCGGCATACCGAAATTGGAGTGTCCATATAAAAAACCCGTGGGACACAACCCGGCTAAACGGGGTCGTGATGCAATGATGTGTGCTCATGGCTACTAAGCTTGAGCGTTCCCGTGTTGGGCTAGCATGTAAAATCCCTGTGGATCCCACCTCGGCACTGCTACACCCAAATTAGCAATGGTGTGGGCTTCAGGGCCACAAGGCGTTGGTCTGCCCGACTGGGGCTCCCCATGTAAAACCGCCGTGGGTCTCACTTAGAGTGTGCGTGGACCATGTTAGAAATGGTTGCGGGCTCCACGATGGCAAAGAATGTGGGTATTATCAACTTGAGCTGCATAACTAAAAGCTCCGTGTGTCCCACCTAGGCTCTGCGCGGGCCTTGTTAGCAATGGTGGGGCTCCATAGTGGCAAAGCTTGGGCATAAGCGACTTGGGCTGCCAATGTAAAAACCCCGTTGGTCGCATGTG